ATGCTGAAGTGGGCTGTGAATCAGCCGCGTCTCTCCTACCTGGAGACTCAGCCAGACCAGGCAGAGGCAGCTGGAGGCCATGTGATCAGCAGCTACAGCGATTTCCAGCCAACTGCCACGCCTACGCCTATTGGCGCCTCTCGCATGAAACTGAAGCGGCAATCGCTGCTCCACATCCAGATGCAGGCGGATGCGGATGCGGATGCGGGCGACAAGGAGAATCAGTTGACCTCCACATTGACGTCGACGCCGCTGCCCGCTGCCTCGGCTGCTGCTGCCCCTCTGGCGCCGCGCTGCACGCCTCTGCTGCGGGACCTGAGCAACATCCTCTCGCCCCTGCACACGCCCCCCCTGAAGAGGACTGCCTATGCGTGCACGCTGCCCACCTTCGAGGCGGAGTACTCGCCCGGCCACCGGGAGAACAAGGAGCAGGCGGACAGCCAGCGGGGCACGCAGGACAACAGGATCATTCCAGGAGCGCTGCTGGCACTGCGTGGCATGGGCATCCCGGACAGCTACTTCGAGAAGCCGCGCTACCTGCAGCCAGCTGCCCCAACTCCTGCTCCTCCTGCTGCTGCTCCATCAGCTGCCCCCGTTGCTGACCAGACGACGCTCAGCTCTACCCAGATGGGCGACGTCACCTTGGAGCGCATGATCGATGCGATCCTCGAGAGCACGCGTAAAGCGCCATCTGCAGCGCCTCGTGCTCGCGCCCGTCCCCATCCCCATCCTCGTTCCCGTCTACGCCGCATCTCTCGCTCCCATTCTCGCTCGCGCCCCGCTCCACTCCCGCCCATCTCCACGAGCCACTCGCCCACCTATCGCCCCGCCTTCGATCCGGCCAGCGATCTGAGCGAGTATTGGCAGCCACCCAGCCATCCGGATGCGTACGAAGAGAGGGAAGTGCGCTCTCCCCAGCAGGGAGTGGGAGTGGGAGCGGGAGATGCATCTCTGTCTCTGGCGGGCAAGCGACGCTCTCTGCAGCAGCTGCGCAGGCAGCGCGTGGTGAGGCGCAAGCGGAAGATCGCCACGAAGATCTCGTCCAGCGTGCGCCACTCGGCGCAGAAGCTACTCGCGGCTGCGGCCCGATCTGCCCACAAGCTGCCCCATCCCCATCTCCATCCCCACGCACACTCGCACTCCCGAGCTCCTGGCCAGAGGCACATCAGCCCCGACAGCGGACACAACTCCACCAGCGACTGCGAACTGGAGCTGGAGATGG